TGTAATAATAAGATAGCTGAACATATTTATGGAATACAAGATGATATTCTGATATATATACACAATCAGAACATAGTATTGTGATAGTGCCAATGGAGCAACAGAGTGGTAACTTAAAATGTAAATTTGATTCAATCTTGATGTTTCAGTGAGTGAGGACTGAAATATGTAAGGCATTCAGTTATTAATTATGTACACCATGCCTACACTTAAAGAAGCTGAAATAAATAGGCAATGCCTATCCTTGCAGTTACTCAGGTCACTATATAATAGGGCCATATGTGTGTTCATTTTATTCTTTTCTCTTATCCATTGACTTTGTCAGAAATCGTTCAAGGATAAAATTATTATTAGAGTTCTGAGGAAAAAACTGCTGACAAGAAAGTGAGAAAATCTAGTAACTTTAAGTGATGAGTTAACTGGAAAAAGAGCTATATGGATTTGAGTATGAGAAATATGAGACTTAGCTTAATGTTCTATTATAAGAATACCTTCAGTATTTGATAGTAATGAAACAAAATTAAATTTAACAGAATTACTTTCCTTCAGCTAAGTTTCCATCCCTCCTACTCGAGAAGAAAACAACAGTAAAGTTAAGAATTGACCTCCCTTCTCTTTGTTCCCTACCTCTCTCTAGGAGTAATAGTGACTATGTTTTCCATGCATAACTCATATGCTAGCCTAACTCAATTGTTAGACTAATAAGCTCACATAAGTTCTTGAGAGATCATACCAAATTAATGCAAACCAGAAACTGAAGGATTTATTTAATATCTGTTAGGGGAGTTTCCTCAAATCCCTGGAGTAAGCACAGTTATATGTTATTGGCTTATCATTTATAAATCCATCTAATTATGTGAGAATGTACACTTGCATTGCATTGATAGAATACCAAAAATATTATTACAGAAACATAGTTAATAAAGTCAAATTATATGTTCTGCTATATGCATTTGCCATGGAGTTTTGAAACCCAAATATACTATTTTTATTTCATTCACTGATTTTAATTATTTTAAAAGTTCGTAATTTAAGAATGATTAGTTTTAACACATTTGACCTTTTGAATCTGATGTAAGATTTAACCAAAAGTTGGGGTGTTTACCACTGGCCTGAATCTCTTCTCCTTATAGGATGTAGACTCAATTTACAGATGTACAGCTGGTACAAAGATTAGCATATTCTTGAAATTAACTTTTCTTATCTCTTTAATGTTGATCATAGCTGTGAACACTTGTTTAAGCGTTGTGCTAAGTGGTTTGTAGAAATTGTTTCACTTGACCTTCTGATAGATCTATTCTCCTCTAGAAACATAGTCTACAATGAGAGTATTACAGGTAATAGTGAAGATGACTAGGGGGGAAATTAGTTTACACCAACAAAATGATTTTTGTAAGCCACACAGAAGGTAGTCCAGTCAGAAGTGGAATTAAATAGATGTGAACCCAAAGTCTGTCTGCTTCAGCTTTACCCCTGTTTCTTATCATATTCCTGGGAGATCAGACTAATCATCTAACTTTCTAGTTTGTATTAGAGGTTTACAATCCTCAGAGATTCAATAGTTCATGATTTCCTTGTTCATACAGCTACTTTTTGTTGTAAAAGAAGAGGAAAAGAAGACCTAGACGTCAAGGTGATCTCTCAAAAACCTTGTCAATGTGAATGTATTTTTCAGGATTTCTTCTGTCTATAAGTGAAAAAAATTCATCTAAACTTCACTTAAGGAAACAAAGGTGATTTCCTGTTTCACATAACATAGCAAGTTCAGGAAATGTTAAATTCAGGTACTCAAATGACATGAGGAGGGAGTCCATATCTGACAATTCTTGGCTATGCTTCCCTTGGGTTTCATTCTAAAAGAAGAAGAAGTTATGAAGAGGAAGAGCTTGTTTTTGATTCAAAGTCTGCAAGGTTGTAACTACGTAAAAACATCATAACCTTGGGGACTGAAAATCAAGAGATAGAAATAGTAACAATTGAAGGAAACCGTCTTCACCATGAAATTGCTTGTGCAATCAGGCTCCAAGTTTAAATTTTATTATATAGTATTTTATGAAATTACAGAGACAGATGTATAATTACACAAACATACACATACAAACATATATATAACATATATATTATATATATGATATATATATATTTGAAATAATTTTCTCCAAATGAAGAGTGGGAGTTGAAATATTTCCTTACATAACTTTGGTATCAAAGTTTTAGTTAGTAAGTGCAGAACCAGGATAATCTTTCCTCTAGGTATGCTTAGTTCTTTTAAGTTTTCCTTCCATGCACATACACTTTACTAGAAGCAACATTTTCCTTTTCATTCTCTGTATTATAAAATCTTTAAAAATATTACAGTGTTTGGTAGAGATACAAATTACTTTTTCTATATTTTAGTTACAGATATCATATTCAGGAAAATTATACTATATCATATGCCCTTTAATGACTACAATCCTCTTTCTCCATTTTCTCTGCCATACAATGACAGAGAATCTATTTTGAAGGATCTTATGGGTACCTAGATTAAACCTAGAGTCTACAGAAAGGAGACATCTGGGTATAGATAGATAAGATATACATAGTGAATTGTCCTCTAGCCTACCGCTCTGATCATGAGCAACCGAGCAGACTGAAAAGCTTGTTCTGTCGCGCTTGATTCTTGTAAATACAAGGTAAAAAGAATTACTTGCACCTTAGTCCAGCAAACTTAAGCATGAGCAGAGCTACAGTTTTCTCAGTGTAATGTCATCAGATAATTACGAAAATGGAAATAGGAAAGGCTTAGGTTACACAAATAAGAAAGTTCTGAATGACTAAATTGCATGCATATAGTAAATATTAAGGAAGACACTTCTCGTAAGACAGGAACTTATATTCCAAGATATGGTATTTTCTTGGTTAAAGAAAATAATATCATGGTAGACAGCATGAAATACTAGAGCTGACATTGTAACAAACATCCTTTACCTAACTTCTATAGAGATCCCTTCAAAGCTGCTACTAAAGCAAAGCTTCACCTTGCTATACAAGGCAGTGCTCTGCCTTTCAGAAATGAAATGAGTCAGGTTCAAAAGCAGGAAATTTCTCAGAGAGGGGAGACAATAATTCAAATTCTTTATGGTTAGTAGCAGACTAAAATTATCCAATAAACTCTCAACTTTTCTGTTTTTGAACTGTGTCTTTTAGATAAGAATATATAATGATATATACATATATATGTATATGTATGTGGGGAAGAGAGGGGGAGAGAGTAGGAGGACTTTAATAGATGAAAGAAACATCCATGACTTGTGGCAAAGGTTATATCCAGCCCTTTCAAGCCAAGTGCTTTGTACACTTGAATTCTCATTGCCTTGTCAGCTCTACTCTGCATTCCCAGGATAAAGGTAGTGTCTTCCAAGCTCTATATTGGATTACACCCTTCAGTAGCATTCAAACAGCAATGAAGTCTTTGCTGTGACATCCAACGTCATAGGAGTACTTTAACCTATACTCAGTTACCTAAGGATGTCCTCCCCATGACTGAATGACCCACCACTTCTTTCACAATTATCCCATAGAAAATTTAAGCTTCCAGTTATATAGTTGAAATTGAAATGCTGTGAGAGCCTTTCATTCTTAAACTCACTATTGAGATATTGTTAAGTTCATTCTAATTCCATTCTATGTAACTGGTTTTGAATTGACTTTGAATACCCTTTGACTAAACATATCCAAAGAGAACAGGAGGACATTTCCTACAATGTACAAATGTACATTGTATTTGGTTCGCAAGAGTCCAAGAGCTCCTGATTTGCTACTTCTGATGAAAAGTGAGTCACCAAATGACAGCCACAAAAGCTAACGTGTCACATTTGTAGGCAAAAGTATCCTTTGGAAATTATAATAATAGTCTCTTCTGAATACAAAGAATGTTGTTAATCACTTTAAGGAAAAGCAAACCCCACTCAGGAAGATATTTCAGAAGGCACTAAAACCAATTACCTTAGCACTTTAATTTTTTTAGCACTTTAATTTTTAACACATCGTTGCAAGCAAAGACAGCATGTCTTCAGATTGGTTTGTGAATTTGAAGAGAGTATGAAGGACCCGAAGAAACAGGACTAGAAGGCACAGGTTGGTTTTAATCTTTGATTGTGGTGTCTGGGATACCCCTTGCTTGAGAGCCCCCCCCACACACACACACTAATAAAAAGAGGTTGTGTGGGCACATTTTTCTACACTGCTAGCTTAAGGTCCTAACTACATATCTCAGAAAGCTTGCATTCCCGTTTGTGTTTCCAGTGGTGTCACTGGACAGGAAAAAAAAAATCCTAGGTAAATTTATCTGAGTCTGGTTAAGTAATATTTGTTCTTTCTTGGAAAAGTGGCCCCTTGTGGACAATTATTTCACATGTCTTAGCGTTTTACATTTTAATGTAAAACAGTAACCTTGTGTCTCCTTCTCCTCTTTCCTCCCGCCTATCTGGAGCCCTATTCCAACCAACCCCCAGTTTTCTCCTCCCTACCAGACTCTAAAGTGTCACTCACAGCACTTTTTTTTTTATGTTTCAACAGCTTCCAAAACAAACAGTGGAGGTTGTGACCGGCTGGGTATTCACTCAGTTGGATGCAACAGTATCTCCCTATCGCTTTGGCGTAAGCCGCCATTGGTGGCTGTTCCCTACAAGGCCAGCATTTGCCAGTCTCTGGGCTCTGTCAGGTTCCAGAATCAAGGATTTGAGGACTGATGGTACACACATGTCCACTGAGAGGAAGGAAAACTTAAAAAGAAGAGAGACTACACCTCGTAGGATTTCGACTCGTTTAACTTCCTTCGTTTTTATTTTGTCTATTTAAATAAAAATACAGTCATATGTAAAGGGGGGGTTGTTTGTTAAAGTGCGGATCCAAAAATTGGTTTTCAGATTTAAAACTTCTTTCTGTGAGCTTTTTCTCCCTTGCCTCTAATCTGGCCCTCCCTCTCCCCCTCCCTCCCTAACTCAGCTCAGGTTGAAACTTTGCAGCCCACATTCACTTCTTCCCCTCCAGGGATGGCTCTGAGCTCTCGAGCGCACGCCTTCTCGGTGGAGGCCTTGATGGGGAGACCCAGCAAAAGAAAATCTCAAGACTCAAGAGAGGAGATGCAGCCTGAACTGCAGGAAGAGCAGCGCACACAAAAAGAGGAGGAAGAGGTACCCAGCGGTGCTTCTGGGGACTGTGAGCAGCCGGGTGAGTACACTCAAGCAGCCCTGTAACACTGAGCGCTTCACCGGCGCTGGCTGGATCGCGTCTTCTCCTGGTTCATTGAGCTGTGGGCAAACTTGTTCTGGCTCATCCCCGCAGGTCAGGTTGTGGATTGTGGAATACTTTAGCAGCCTGATTTGAGTAAAAATTTCAGAGAGTCTGAATTGCACTGGAAATACTGTGGCTTGTTGACAATGAAAAGGAGGGTCCCACTTACTTTTAGAGAAGTGAGTCACACACCCCTTACAAATACGTTAAGATCCAGACCTGGCTGTTCCTCTCAGTAGGAAGGAGGATGTTCCCCAAATCCCCTAGAAAATCTAGCTTCAGTTTCAGTTTATGTAAGATTAGGGGTGAGAAAATCTCACCTTTTGTGAGATGCAAATTAGATCCCTCCATTAGGAAACCACAAAGCGTTTCGTGGAGGAACTTATGCATCAGACTCTGGAGTTTCTGGGGGGTGGGGGGGGGGGAAGACGAGGTCTATCAGTTCAAAGATAGTCTCCTGACAAAAGGGTGTGTACAACCTGCCAAACTCTCAAACCCCATGTCTAGCAGAAAAGCGACTCAAGGCGGAATCTTCAAAAACTGCTTTTTCCTCCTGCTCTGGCGGCGAGAGCATCGGCCAAGAAAGTCTGCACGAAAAAAACTTTATCCAAGTGGAGCTTCAGGGATCTGACCTATGGAAAAGATTCCACGACATCGGGACTGAGATGATCATTACCAAGGCTGGCAGGTTGGGCTGGGGCAGTGATTTCCCTGAATCACACATAGTAGACACTTCAGGAGGAGGGAGAATCCAGTTTTGTAATGTGAAACTCCTCCCTCTCCCCACTCTGGCAGACATTAGAAAGCCACAGACTACTCAATCGGTTGCTTTGGGAAGTACCTAACTCGTCTATTCATATTTTCTAATACATGCTTACTCCAAGGACTCACTCTTCCAACTCCTGCCGGTGTACTCTATGCAAAAATCTAGACCTGTACAGGCAGGGAAGTGTCAGATGTCTCTCCAACTTTTTTAGCACTGTAGCCAGCCTCTCAGCTCAAGCCTAGGAAGTAGCAGCACTGTCCTCCCGCACACCATCCCTAGCTCAGACCACTGGGAAGCTGGCCTTTCCACAGGCTAACCATTTGGTGTCAGGAAGCCTCCTAATTAGTCGTCCTAATTTCAACACTTTAAATCTACTTCACATTCCCTTCTTCTACTAAAAGTACGGGAAAGGAACAAAACTTTTCCTGTCTTACTTGATCTCTTATAAGTTTGAATGTCGTGTGTAAAGTCATGGATGAGGACTTTTCATAAAGATAGTCTGCACCTCTAAGAAATCTAGGACTTTTAAATCAACCATTTTTTAATGTTACAAATGCCACTTCCTGAGCATGTCATGGAAAGGGAAGAGCACTGTATTTATCCATAACCCATCTTCCTTTAAAACATTTCTAATATTTCCCACATCAGGTTCTATTTCCCGTCCAAACTCGTAATTTCTTTCCCACAGGCGTATGTTTCCTTCTGTTCGGATCAAGGTGAAAGGGCTGGAGCCAGTGAAGCAATACTATGTGATTTTGGATGTGGTACCAGTGGATTCCAAACGTTATAGGTAACGTGGTAGATATAGCATATCTTTATCTGAGGACACAGATTCAGAGACTCTGTTCTGCAGCCTGACACCTAACAGCAGGATCAGAACAAAACTAGACCTGGTGATGAGGAGAGAGGATTGCTCATCCTTGGACTCAGATAGTTGAATTTTCTCATTTAAAATCTGGGTTCAAAGTGAAGGAAGAGTGGGTCTCCTACACCCTCCTCAAGGAAGTTAGTGTCAAAGGACTCCTTGTTGTACCTTAAGCCTATCCACTGCTTATGCCTTAGATATGTAAAGTGTGGGTGTTCTGGCATCCCAGAGGCAAGAAGTTTGAAAAAATTTAGGGAGACATTCCTAAGGCTCAAGGTGAACCCTGGCTTCTGGTAACAGGCTGTAATCTGGGCAGGTTAACAAATTATTTCATGGTTTGACCAAATCTGGTGGTAGGGTCTGAGAATCAAGGCTAGGTTTTTGCCCATATATTGTCCCTATTTTTAGATGTATGCCTGAAAGATTAGCCAGATCCAGACAGTGCCAGGATTTTTTAATTCTTTTTTTTTTTTTAATTCTTCCTCCAACCCCCTTGAAGACCTTGAGGAGCTTGGACCAAAGGAGAACAAATTGTTCTAAAGATAAGAACCCTTTGAGCTAGCGGTTCAGAAGCACAGCCCTAAAGATGCTTTGACTGGGAACTCTGGAAGTGAAGGGGAGAAGGGTGCTGAGAATGTTGCCCAAAAGTCAGCTGTTTGCGATCAGCCCTGGGGCGCCTGACCCTAGGGGGGGAGCCTATCTAAGACCATAGCTGCCGCTCAAGGAAAGAAAGTGCAACTCACCAAGCGGGTTGGAACTTCCTCAGCCTGGAAACAGACACAGCTGCTTCCTTTTCAAGTGGCGCAGAGGCAGGTTTGGGGAATGCTGAGTAAAACCCTCAGTTTAAGATTAGAAACAGTTCCGAAAATCAGCGCAGAGGCCGCACAGGGCGGAGTTCCTTTGGAGTTTTCTGATGTTCAGTTTAATTGACAAAGGGATTCAGCAAGAAAGGGTTTTCACCATAACTATTACGCGTGGGCAAAAAAGACATAGTGCTTACCCTTCTGTTTCGTTCCTTGTGCCTTTTGCTCTCTTGTCATTTGTGGATGTTTTTTAGGCATCGCTGCATTAGGATAATGAATCAGACTGATTCTTGCTCCAGTTTTTGTGAGGAAATATGAGATTCAGATATCCCATGCTGTTTTTACTCACCCAGGCACTGCTTTGCATTTTGGTGGCATATGCCTATTTACTGTTTGTTTGTTTGTTTGTTTGTTTGTTGCCCGTGAACGCTCTTTGAAAATTAAGTTGGATCTTCTGGTTATTTGCTAGCCTTTGGAATAAACGTTTTAATCTTTGGTGAGGCTCTAAGGTGGAGAAACCTGAAGCCTTCCATTCCTCTGCTTTGTGCTGTCTGATCCTAAAGCCATGCCTTACTCTTTTTCATTCCCTCAGGTATGTGTATCACAGCTCACAGTGGATGGTAGCTGGGAATACTGACCATTCGTGCATTACTCCCAGATTCTATATCCACCCAGACTCCCCTTGCTCAGGAGAAACCTGGATGCGTCAAATCATCTCCTTTGATCGAGTGAAACTCACCAATAATGAGATGGATGACAAGGGCCATGTAAGTGAGCACAAACTTTCTCCTGGAGGATGTAGTTGCCAAGGCTCCCAGCCAAAGGTAGTCCTTAAGAGGTCATTCTTTGTGTATGTGTAATGTTTTGGGAACCAAAAGCTCTACCATCTAAGAGTGCTGGACTCTGGAAATGACTGCAGGGAGCTTGGGGGCCAAAAGACCTCAAAGAAGAGACTAGTTTAAGCTAAAGAAAGTGTCCCTTAGTGGAGAGTGGGAGGGAACACTTCACAGGACTATCAGGCATCTTGGCTTCCCTGGCAACACTATGGGCTTTTGCCTTTCTTGAAGTCTACACATTTGTTACATGGGTGTCTTTGATAGGGTATGGTGGGAGGATGCTAGGCAGCAAATGAGAATCCAGACTGCAACTTCCACAACATGCTACAGTGGGAGTCAGTCCCTGCTTATTTTCAGGCTTCCTGTATCTTGAGTCTTCTCCTTAGGTACACTCCTGCCTATGCCCTGCCAACCTAGTCTTGGGCCAGCCACAAAAGGAGAGAAGGAAACTACCAGGTTTAGGAGGTGGGGAATATCAGGTTTCTGGCCACATTTGGGACCATCAGTTACTACTCAGAGAATCTATATTAGGTGATCATAACACGTCCACACCATATGTTCATCACATTTGGAAGCAGGAAAGCCCCAAATCTGGCTATGGAATTCGTTACATGGTGTCAGTGTTTCTTCGTGCCTTCCTCTGGAAAGCCTTCAGCCAGGAGAAATTCTGTTGGGGACCAAGGTCTGCAACACAGTCCTGATTTGTGGCTATCTGAGCCTTCCTGTATATTGTTACCTAGTTTGGGGGGCATGTTTTCACTGGGGGTTATCATAAACTGGGGGTGGTGTTGGGGAGAAGTTGGTGTTTCAGATGGCATCTAACCACTTCTTCCCTAGATCATTCTGCAGTCCATGCATAAGTACAAACCCCGTGTGCACGTGATGGAGCAGGACAGCAGGATTGACCTGACTCTGATTCAGTCCCTTCCTACTGAAGGAATTAAAACATTCTCCTTTAAAGAAACTGAATTCACTACTGTGACAGCTTACCAAAACCAGCAGGTAACACTGTCTAGACCCCAGGAAATGGGAGTGGCCCCAGTGATATATTGGGATAGAATCAAGCAACATTGTATGGGTTACATTTTAGACAATAGAGAAAAAAGTCATAGTCCTATGTAGTCATCAAACGACATTTGATAGAAAGTTGTGCTGCTGTTCTGTTGAATAGGAGATCATAGCGGAAGGGACCAGTAGGCAAAGGGGACAATCATCTTATATCTGGCTTAATTATATCCTTGCATTTATTTCCACATTATAATGGAAGTGAAGTTGCTGAGAACAAAGACTTGACATTTCTCTTTGCCTTTCCTTTGAATTCATAGATTACCAAACTGAAAATAGACAGGAATCCTTTTGCCAAAGGATTTAGAGATCCTGGGAGAAACAGGTAAGTAACGTAGCATTCAAATTTAATATTTATGTAGCCCCTTTAATGACTACTAAAAATAATAGGTAAGTGGAGTTGCATCATACAGAGTATTTACATAGTTGTTTTACGAGTATTAAAAATTAGGTAACTGTGAATAAGATGCTCAGAAGCTTACACTTTTATGGACAGTAGGAGGTAGGAAAAAAACTTCATTGTGGGTCCCATAGCACGCCTTTTTCTACTTTACCTCCTGGCCAGTGTTAATATATCACAAAGTGGAGCTTATAAAAATTTACTCAGATCCTAGCTATGAGTGAAAATAATAGTTCAGATAATTTCTCATAAAATATAACAGGTTTACATGAATCATTATATTAACTAAGTGTTTTCTGGAGTTGCTGAAAAATAGATATCTTTCTTTCAGGGGTGTATTGGATGGGTTTTTAGAGACCTACCCATGGAGGCCTTCTTTCACTATGGATTTAAAAACCTTTGTTGCAGATACACAAAGTAAGGAAACTTTTAAATTTCAATTTTATTTTTACATATTAATGTAGTAACAACAGTCATAATTCTTATACCAAATACTACACAAAGGAATAAATATATGCCAGAAAAATGTGTTCACAGGAAATTAGTATTTACTATGTGGGAAAGTATAAAGCAAACACAGAGATAAACTGACACTTAAGGAAGATAATAAAGTTATGTTGCTAGAAATGTATTAGTTATCTAGCTTATTGAATTACCTTGCACTTTTATCATGACATTATATATGGATTCCACAGTATCTCATTCTTTTATATGAAGAATCTATTTGGTCTCTGGCCCATTTGTTGCCTAATTTGGAAATATATTAGTTGTATAAGATATTTTTATTTATCTTTACCATATATCTAAATTATTTTATTTGTTTTACCTTTACTTAGTTCCAATTTACCTTTTTATTGCAAGAGAAGTAAATATGAAAATTAAAAATTAACCTTAATTGATCACATCTAGTTTATTTTTCATGTATGTTTTGTTTCTATTTTTACATTATTTAAAAAGTCTTTGAGTATATGATGCAAGGTAACAACATATTGTAGAATATATAACATGTAAGGTAAAATGTATGATGAGAATGGTAAAGAAGCTATGAAGAAATAAATTCAAGTATAATACTATAAATTCTTATACAGGGTATAGCATATTACTACTTTAAGGGAAACTGAAAGTAAATGAATACTACATACAGAAAGTAATAATTAAGAATTTTTGCCAAGAAAGGAACTCTCAGCATGCAACAGAACAAAATGGGCTAAATATAGCATGGATGTGGTAAAATTTGTCTACTTTTAAATTTTAAAATGCTCTAACATACAGATTAAAATTGATCGTCTTAGTGGGGCACCATGTAATGCCTTTTATTCATGTATACATTAAAAATGTTTAGACTCCTTCATCTTTATTTCCTTAAGCAGTGTTACCTTCATATGGTGAAAACTTTCAAAATCCATTGTAGATTTTTTTCAAAAGCACAATATGCACTTGTTAACTCTAGTCTCCCTACACTGCAATACCACATGTGAACTTCTTGCTAGTGTCTCACTATACCTTAGTAGCCACTGATTTGACAATTCTCCATTCCTATTTGACCCCCATTTATCTCAGTATCTGGTAGCCAGTATTATGTTCTCACTTTTTGCCATAAGATCACTTTTTATATTTCACTTATGTGTGAAACCATACAGTATTTGCCTTTATGTATCACAACCAATTTAATTGTTAAAAGTTTTTAAAAGTATTCATAACGTGTTTCTTCTCAGGCAGATCATCATCATAGTTGGATAATTCAGGTGTTCTAGCAACACAATCTATAACTTTATTTCTGAATATTTAACTATAAATAGAATATTTTATTTGTAAACAGCATAAAACTTTCTCCATTCATCTTTACCCCATTGAAGTCACTTGTCTTTGGACATTTACTTAACATTACTTTTATGAAGCAAGCCATCAACATTACACTTAAGCTTTAAGTGATGACATAACAAGAAATTGTTATGCAAAGAAATGAAGTATAGTTACTTGTTGAAATGATATGCTTTAGAGAGTTGCATAGAAAACTATGAACAATTGTTTTACTAGAAAGATCCAACTGAGAGCTTTAGGCAACATGCTTTTAAAATATCCAAACCTAGTTTCAAAAAAAGACAAAAGTGACCATTAATTGATCACTTTAAATACAGTTAATTTCATCATTTCAAGTGTGAAGTGTTCATTCATATGGAAAAGGAGCAATAATTTTTTAAGTAACTTTTGACTGATTTATTATAAATATTTGTCACTCTGCTGATAATATTTTAGTGCATATTTATATTTACATATAAAATTACCCAAGAAAAATGACAAAATTATCCATAAAAATCACCCAACTTCATCAAGTATGGTCAAACATAATTGACTCAATTCAAACATTTACAAAAGTAAGGCTCACAGTCTAGATTGTCCTCCAATCTTATTATCTGTTATACAAGTGCTTCTCAACCTTCCTAATGCTGTGACCCCTTAATACACAATTCCTCATGTTGTGCTGATCCTCAACCATAAAATTATTTTATTGCCACTTCACACCTGTAATTTTGCTGTCATTATGAATCATAATGTAAATATCTGATATGCTTCCCTGAAACAGATCATGACCCACAGGTTGTGAACCACTGTGCCAAACAATAAAAGCCTGAACATAGAGTAAACACTTTCCTTCTCACCTTGGTGTTTTTTTTTTTTAACTTGAAACACTATCTTCAATTCTTGATAGAAAACAACCATGGAAATCTCCCTACATATGATTTTCATATAAGTCAAATATTAATGATTGTTCATGTTTTTCATCTATAAAATTATTTTATATTTACTTGATTTTTATACTGAAATAGGCAATTAAAAAATAAAAAGGTTAATTTTTATCAGTAATATGTTATTTGCTAAGTTATATATGGGACTTCTTTAACTGTTGGATAAACTGTAAAGACCTGGAGTATACTAAATGTTCAGTGTGTAATACAAAGTGATACTGCCATAGTAGCAGTACCCACCATATTCAGAGTCAGAGTCAGTCAGAGGAGTAAAAATATCTTTTCCCAAGCTGAAAGAGCATGAACTTGCAAAGAATACCACTCCAAGAATTAAACAATATGGGCAATAGATATGATTAATGATTCAGCAGGAAAATCAGTTTTGTTCTTCACTGACTAACTTGCCTTTTGCAGGTGGAAGCAGTGGCTCATCTCCAGTGACCTCTAGTGGAGGAGCTCCCTCTCCTTTGAACACCTTACTTTCTCCATCTTGTTCTCCACCTACACCTTCCCTTCACATTCCTCCAAGCTCTCTTGGAACGACATATCCAGAGGCATACCTGCACAATGTAAACCTGCCCTTCTGCTACAAGATTTGTCCAACTAATTTTTGGCGACCACAACCTCTTGTCTTACCTACTCCTGAAAGGGTACCAAGCTTCAACAGTTCTCAGTCTTTGCCCCCAATCATGATGGAAGTGCCCATGGTATCCTCCAGGGGCATCATCAATTCCAACACTGGCTTACATGAAAACTGCAATGGGCAGTGTCTACAGGCATCTCATTCTGCCAATCAAATGTTATATGGATTACAGAATCCTGGAAATATTTTCCAGCCAAACTCCATTGCCCAAGAAACACTCAGTTGCCCTTTTCATCCTTCCCATGGCTGTTATAGGTACAACTTATCCATGCCATCTAGACTCGAAAATGCTACCAAACATCTCAGTGAAAATGACAACAATCAGATCTCTTTTAAAGAAGGCAGATGTGATCATTCCCATTGGTATCCAGCAGTCAACCATTGCCTTTAATGGGACAACAATCACATTTTAAGCATGTGATTACATTACATGTAAGCACCTATTTTCTTTATTTTTAACAAAAGAAAGGACAACATCTCTTAAAAATTCCTTACCAAACAGCATTGTTTTGTTTGGTTTTGAAATAATGAATGTTTACAAGAATTTCTATATGATGTGACCTGTAAGAATATGACATTATAATAGCCTTGGTCCTCAAATAAAGTACTTAATAAATATTATTTGAGACGTTAAACCATCAGTGATAATTAATGCCAGGAGATTAACTCCAATTACAACATTGTTAACTCACCATACATCTGTGCTTTACCTATTAACAAAGATCAACACAAGATGGATATAGTTTGTGTAAAAACAAAAAAAAAATGGTATTTCAGTCGTATCTATGAAGGTTGGCTGCACTATAAATATCCATCAAGTAATTACAACAAAATTGAATCATTTGTTTGATTTATATTTTGCTTAAGAAGGAAATGGTAATTATAATTTTAAGGTATAGACAGGGACACAAGTTTCCAAGTATTGTTTTTGATTAATCTATGTAGCCTGAATACTATTTAATACTGAGGAGGATACAAAGATCAAATGAAGGGTAAAGTATTCTAAATAACTTTGATCTTTGTTTCCTGTTTTGAAATGTTTCACTTATGAAGTATGTTAATATATTCCTCTAAAAAGCTTATTTATTCTACATATTATACATATTGAAACACGTGATTTTAGTTCTCTAAAAAACAGACATTATTTGAAGGGAGAGAACAGATTTGAGTATATAGAGATGAAAGAATCATTACATTGGTAGAATTTAATTCCCATTTTTCACATCTTGTGTGTTAGTAATGGTAATGGAAATGGATAAAAGTAAAAAGTAAAACTTGATTTTAGTTTTTGAATTTGAATAGTATCATTTAATCAATTTCTAAATTTCTGAAGAGTTATAAACTATATATTCAACACGTTTTTTAAATCAATTAGATATTAGCATTTACAGCAATAATTGAAGTTATTTTACTAAGCCAAAGTCCTTTAATTGTAGCAATATGATTTGACTTTTACCACCACTAAGAAATCTGCCAAACACCTTTCCTTATTTTTCTAAAATACACCAGGAACTGCATATACTAATCATATCAACCAAAATAGTTATTTCATCCTAAATATTCCTTAAAATATGCCTTCCCATAAAGTTTTTGCTCCTGACTTCCAGAAATATAGACATAACAGCACATGGTAGCATAAGACTAAATATTCTAATGAAGATAATTAATTATTTGCCTTTTACATTAATGGAATACCTATTGCAAAAGTCTCTGAGGCATGAGTTCAAGTTTATTTATCAAGGGTTTAAAGAAGCAAGTACACTTTATATTTGCCTACTCTACAATGGGAACTCCATAGGCAAACTTTAGTAGAATAAATTATGATTTTAATATAGCTACTATAATGAAACTATCTGATAGCTTATATGTGATTATTTCATCACATGACAACAAAATGTTATTTAACATAAAATTAAAGAAAATCTTTGAGTTGCTGTTTATTATATAAGGGAATACATTAATAGCTATTTCAGGGTATATATACCAATGCTTTAAATGTCATAAAATTTGTTATGTTTTGCAGTCATAAATCTAAGCATATGTAATTATACTGGCAATAACACTTAATAGAGGCAAAATTTTAAATGCTACAGGTTTTGCATTTATCTTAGATTATTTCTTAAAAAGTTCATAAATTGTGTCTTCACATAATTAATTATAGTAAACTAGGGAAAGCCTTCATAGAAAATTAAACTTGCAAGAAATCTCAGTCAAGTAGCCCCTTTTTGTTTAAATAACCTGTTCATCTGCAGTAATCCGTTAACATGTCCATCTCATGCACATAAATATTTAATGCCATTACTACCAGCTTCAAAATGGATGGTACAGAACTCAAGAGAGTTGATAACCTGTGACTATAGTTATAGAACAACAACAGCAAAAATCTATCTGTCCATATTTAACAGCCTTCCTTGAAAATTTTCAAAAGCATCTGGTTAGATAAAGGGAGAAATTGTTAGCAAATGAAAGTGGTCACATGCTATAGCATAAGTTCCAAATCCTAGTAATTAAAACTTTTATTTCCAACCAGTTTGAAGATACACACACACACACACACACACACACACACCTCTTCATTTAAAAGAAAACAACAGACTACATTTAGATAAATATTCTTAACCTGATCTAGTATGTGACTTTCCCAAATAAACCTATAGAAAATAAACCTTGCATCAATTTTGTAAAATTTTTACATTGAGCCAGGAAATAAGTGAATGATATTTTATTATTGTATAGCTCTCAGTCAAGTTTAGACCTGCAGGCAGACTCCCTTAGTCAGGAAATTATTTTGTGGAATAGTCAGTCAAGCTGAAATCAATGAGAAAAAAAGTGAGTTTGGTTGAAGTTCTAAGTAGACAAATTGCTACATTACATTGCTTATTACATTTTAAATATTAATATAAGACTAGGTAATATAATTTTAGAACATCAATATCTTTGGTATCAATTTTTTCACTGTTAGCATACTTTGTGAATCTTCAAATTAACTAATGAAGAGGTTTCTTCAAAACTTTCAATCTGTGAAGGAATATTTCACAGTGTCTTCAGGCATGAGTTCTCCATATGGTCTGGGAATGGACATGATTTCATTTTTCTGTGAAGTTAAAGTATGATTGTGGCAGGAAAAGAAATAAACTATTAGCCTCAGCAAGTGATGACTCAGTGACTAATCCGTCTTTGAACCATCAGCATCTTCTGTGCTGACAGCATGACAAGGGTGCCAACACTGCATAAAGACAAGCATCTGGACTGGACATTATGGAAGATTTTCCTTACATCCTCCTAACAATTTCATTTTGCACCTTGGGGAAAATCAAGGCACACAAAGTAGGTACAATGGTAGCCAGAGTGTAGCCAAAATAAATGTGTTGTTTAAATACTAAAATATTATTTTGCAAAGGTATATGCATGCTAACAATGAATTTGGTATGTTTGAAGTAATGGATATGTATATATACATATGTATGTATAAAGTAAGACAATTTTTACATTTTTGCCTCCTTATTTAATCTCACTAACACGTTTTTTTATCTTATATATATGGTTTTGTAAATTATAGATGCCACTCTAATATATATGCACATATGCATGTGTGTATGTGTGTATGTATGCATTCTCCAGTGGGATATTTAGCACTCTTTTAAAATGATTTGCACTGTGCTTCTTTCTCCCACTCCTAAAGAGAGATGCTGTATAGAAAATTTATTCATTGGATACTATATACACTATATAAGAAACATATTTAAATATATTTAGAAATGTTTGACTTCATATGCTATACTTTGATAATTGAATTGACAGGTTGTAAGTACAATTTTTTATTCCAATTTAAAGATATGTTGACTTTGTGCTGAAAAATATTCAGCCAGCAAAATAACAATCAGTAATTCCTAGTATAGAGCAACAGTTTACCAGTTGTTTTTACCGGAATTCAACATGCCTACTGAAGCAGTTAAAAACAAACCAAATGTATAGATAGCTTGAGCACTGGTGGTAGTTGCTTTGCTATAACTACCTTGATATACATTTAATGTCCTTTTATTTGATCTACAATTAAATGATATTTAGTATTAAAACTATATAAATAAACATGGCTTGGATGGCAACATGAAACACAATGAATAGATAACAGAACATTTGAAACATGTCCCACATAAAAACTACTTACACATGCTGGAATGGCTAAATCTGACATGTTATTTCAATAAAAATATGGAGAGTAAAAAGATGAGTACCATTTCCACTCAAAGATTCAAATGTTCATGTTTACAAATTTGTCCTGCACATTAATTTGTAAACACACATTATAGTAAGCATATGTACAGGAAAATATTGTAGTTTCTTTGTATTTAATTCAAGTGCATACTCACATGTTTATTGGCTAATTTTTAAGTGCTTAAAAGAGTTGCTACCATTAAAATTAAATGTAATAGACAATTTTGAAAGTATAATGAAATGCATTGTACCATTAAACACTTTGGTCAAATATTATATTGTTGTTACTTGTAAACATGAAAAGATTTTAACATTGATTTAATATCACATTCTTATGCTCATGATGTAATATTTAGTTATAAAAGATGTGATTAACAACTTAAAACATTACTAATGAAACGAAATAAACTCATGAGCTTGTATTAGATAAAATTTGATGTCTATTCTTTTATTAAGTATATAACTCAGTGTTTCTTCCCTTCTTCCTTTTTATGGTCATTTTTTTAAAGCAGCGCTTTAGTGCTTAACTTTTATTTAAATTTTACATGGAATTTTCATATTTAATTTATAACAAAGATTTTTGTAATTTCTAACCAACTAAATTAATTCAGTTGTTTTCTTGTTGAATTTTACAGATTTTTGGAAATAATATTATCATAGAAAACAACACACACACACACACACACACACACACACACACCACATATACTGAAACTTGAAAGAACACATAAAGCAAAACCAAAAAGTAAAGAGTCACAGTTTGTAGTTTGAATTACAGACTTGTAGTGTCTACACACACTAGACAATTTTATGTAGGTGAGGTCACACAACATTAATGATGATTATCACAATAATAACTTAATAAATTAAGGTTCTCCAACTAGGAGTAAATAACCAAAAATATACTAAACTTACCTCACTGTAACTAACTGCTTTGGGTAGTTGTAGTTTTCCTTAGGTGGCTTTATGTTTTATTTATGTTTTCCTATTTTTTTTGAAAACTACACTTTAATCTTTTTTGAACTTTTTGTTCTGATTTTGATGCATGTAACTGTACATGTTTAAGGGACATAGTGTACTGTTATGATACTTGTGCATCACATCAGGCTAATTTCCATATCTATCACCTTATATTGTTCATTTCTTTGGGGGCAAGACATTCCAAGTGTCTCCTATCTTGTTTGGGTATGGTGCATTATTACCAACTGAAGTCATGGTACTATATAAGACTTCATCAAGACTTAGTCT